ATAGATTTAACTTGACTAAGTCAATAATTATAACAGGTACAAATGTTCTAAACATTTCAATCAGAAGACAATTACTGATTTGGTACATGCTTTCTACAAGAAACCTGCTTTAAATATAAAGACATAGTGTATCAGCCCATTCTCATGCTGCTATGAAGAAATACCCGAGACTGGGTAACTTATAAAGGAAAGAGTTTAATTGACTCAATTCTGCATGGCTGGGAAAGCCTCAAGAAACTTACAATCATGGTGGCAGGAGAGAGAAGCGCCAAGCAAAGGGGGAAAAGCCCCTTATAAAGCCATCAAATCTCATAAGAAGTTACTCACTATCATGAGAACAGCATGAGGGGGTAAACACTCCCATGATTCAAACACTCCCATGGGTCCCTCCCACAACATGTGGGAATTATGGGAACTACAACTCAAGATGAGATCTGGGTGGGGACACAGCTGATCCATAGCTTTCTGCCCCGGCCCCTCTCAAATCTCATGTCCTCACATTTCAAAACACAATCATGCCTTCCCAACAGTCCCTCTAAGTCTTGGCTCATTCCAGCATTAACCACAAAGTCCAAGTCCAAAGTCTCATCTGAGGCAAGGCAAGTTCCTTCCACCTATGAGCCTGTAAAATCAAAAGCAGGTTAGTTACTTCCTAGATATAACGAGGGTAGAGGCATTGGGTAAATAGACCTATTCCAAATGGGAGAAACTGGCCAAAACGAGGAGGCTATAGGCCCCAGGCAAGTCCAAAATCCAATAGGGCAGTTACTAAACCTTAAAGTTCCAAAATGATCTTTAACTTCATGTCTCACATCCAGGTCACGCTGTGAAAGAGGTGGGGTCCCAGGCACAGCCCCCCGCCAGCTGCTTTCATGGGCTGGCATTGAGTGCCTATGGCTTTTCCTGGTGCACGGTGGAAACCAGCGGTGGATCTACTGTTCTGGGGTCTTGAGAACAGTGGCCTTCTTCTCACAGCTCTACTAGGCAGTGTCCCAGTGGGGACTCTGTGTGGGAGTTCTGACCCCACATTTCCCTTCTGCACTGCCCTAGCACTGAAAAAGACAGACAAAGTTCTTGTCTTGTCCTCATGGGGGTGGTGCTGCGGGGAGCATGGTGGCATGAAATGCACTGGAGATATGAGGTGAAAAATACAAATGTCAGGAGCAGAAGGCTCTGCATCACAAAACCAAAACCTGCACACAAAAGAAAATAATATGCATATTTGGCAGTGACTCACATCTTATGTTTGTTGGCCTTTAAAGCTGAAGTCAAAACTCTGATCACAATACTTTCACAGGCAAGTCAACTTGTATTGTTAGACAACCTACATTACCCCCTTACACTCTTACTTGGGGTAAGGAAGCAGGAAACGGGTTGGTTTCTCCACCAATCTTTAGAAGCTATGGAGAAACTTACAGTAGAGGTGGTTAGTTGTGTATTCCTCTGTAGATGACCCAGATCTCTCGTTTCTCAGGGACTACTTGAGGAGAATACAATTTCACACACCTCAAACGATAACTTCAGTAACGGAAGTACATTCTCAATTAAGGGGAAACATGACAATATTAACAGAGTTCATGTGTGTGAACACAATTGTTTGGATGAGTGCAGTAACTTGACTATAACACAATGTGCAATTGGAAGTCTATTAATCAGGTTTCATTCACTCAAAACTGGCTGAAAAATCCTTAGTTTGAAATTTTCTATCTTGGTCTCACCCTGAAGATGTTTTTTTTTTCCCCCTTTGGTAAGATTAAGTCCATCCAGGCATATTGAAAATATAAGACTGAGAAGAAATACCTTTTCCATTTCAAAGACATGCTGGCCAGGCATGGTCACTCATTCCTGTAATCCTAGCACTTCAGGAAGCTGAGGCAGGCAGACTGCCTGAGCTCAGGAGTTCAAGACCAGCCTGGGCAACATACTAAAATACAAAAAATTAGCCAGGCATGTTGTTGTGCACCTGTAGTCCCAACTATTCAAGAGGCTGAGGCATGAGAATTGCATGAACCTGAGAGGCGGAGTTTGCAGTGAGCCGAGATCGCACCACTACCTCCAGCCTGGGTGACAGAGTGAGACTCTGTCTCCAAAACAAAAACAAAACAAAGACAAGCTATTTTACAAAGCAATAATTTAATGCCAGTTAAACTTTAATACATTAAGAAGGACTAAGGTTTTTTTTTGAGATGGGGTCTTGCTCTGCCACCCAGGCTGGAGTACAGTGGCATGATCTCAGCTCACTGCAGCCACGATTGTCCAGGCTCATGCCATCCTCCCACCTTAGCTACCTGAGCATCTGGGGCTAAAGGGATGTGACATCGTGTCTGGATAATTTTCATTATTTGTAAAGATGAGGTCTCAATATATTGCCCAGGCTGGTTTTGAACTCCTGTGCTCAAGGGATTCTCTTGTCTCAGCCTCCCAAAGTGCTGGGATTACAGGTGTGAGCCACTGTGCCTGGCAGCACTGGTTTTAAGAAGCACTGTTTTTCTGCAAAATTCTGAAGCAAAGGCCTCTAAAATGAATAGCCATGGGCCCTGTTTCCGACGGGCTTTTGATTGCATTGTAATTATGTATATATTTATTTATTTCCAATACATTTTTACTATATGGTTATCAATATAAAAAGGAGCTATTAGGAATTTAATACGGTTCTTTTTTTTTTTCCCTTTCTTTTCTTTTTGGAAACAGGGTCTCATTTTGTCACCACCCAGGCTAGAGTATAGTGACACAATCATAGCTCACTCTAGCCTTGAACTCCTGGGCTCAAGTAATCCTCTTGCCTCAGCCTCTTGAGTAGCTGGGACTATAGGTGTAAGCCACAGCACCTCACTGAATTTAATACTGTCCTTTACACTTTTTTCCTCTTTCAAGAAAGAAAGAAATAAATTAAAATTCCTGGGCCAGGCGCGGTAGCTCACACCTGTAATCCCAGCACTTTGGGAGGCTGAGGTGGGCAGATCACCTGAGATCAGGAGATCGAGACCATCCTGGCCAACATGGTGAAACCCTGTCTCTATTTAAAAAAAAAAGAAAAAGAAAATAAACTTCCTATGGAAACATGCTAAATTTGAGAATAGGTCTTATTTTTTCGCAGCAAATAAATGAGGTGCCTTGGATAACTAGTTAGGCTGTGAAATATGTCTATGAACTATTAGGCAATATCCACATCATGGGAAAGTAAGTACAGCTCTAAGTCTCACCAGGTTGCATTTCTTGACTGGTGGGTTGTCACTGTTATCTTTAATATCATACCACAGGAAGTTGTGTATTAAATACAATTTACCTTCACACACCGTGAGTAAACAAACAATATTTAACAAATAGAAAGTATTTAGCTAGAAATAGTGCATAGCTTCAAAGTCCTGATGATGGGTGTTAGGAAGTTTACAACATCTGCGCATTTCTTTAGACTTCTGTTGGTATGATTAAGTCTGAAAGGGGTAAGGAATATCACTGACCTCTATCAGTAAACTAGGAGCAAAAGGAGCTTTAAATTAAAAAGCTGACCTGTTTTTCTCTTTTTCTGTTTATTTCTCGTGTTTATCCACTTTTTCTTTGCTTCCCTTTCCATGTCTGTGCGCTATCCCTATCTTCCATCCTGTCTTCTGTTTCTTTTATTCCTGATTTTTGTCTCCAGGCTAGCATTACCCTGTCTTGATTGAACTAAAAATCATTAACATGTAAAAAAAAAGAATCACTGGATTTTTACAGGTGACAGTAAACAGAAAATGTAGTATAGGGAGTACTATGGATGGAATGTTTACGCTCCTCCCCTCAATTCATATGGTGAAATCCCAACCCCCAGTGTGATGGAATTAGGAGGTGGGCCTTTGGGAGGTGATTAGTTCATGAGGTCAGCAGAATGCAATAGGAAAAAAGGAGCCAGAAACCAACAATGCCGGGGCCCCTGATCTGGGACTTCCAGCCTCCAGAACAGAGAGAAATAAATGTCTGCTGTTTATCAGCTGCCCAGTCTGTGCTACTTTGTTTTACCAGCCTGAATGGACTAAGACATGGGATTAACCTAAACTACTCATACTTTCCTTCAGTGGCTACCACTTCTATGTAATAACTTATGACAATCAATGTTAACAGATTGTCCTTAGCCTTCTCTCTTATATGTCAGCCCTTCCTGATACTTGAGTAAGTTACACTGAGGCAAGAATAGAGTAGCATTTCCTTCAAAAGGTAATTCCAAATCTTGAATCTTAGAGGAAAATGGTGGTTACCAGGGGCTGGAAAGATGTTGCTAAAAGGTTTCAAAATTTCAATTAGACAAGGAGGAATAAGTTCAAGAGAGCTAGTGTACACCTGGCCAGGGCTGGTGGCTCACATCTGTAATCCCAGCACTTTGGGAGGCCGAAGTGGGCAGATCACTTGAGTTTGAGACCAGCCTGGCCAGCATGGTGAAACCCCATCTCTACTAAAAATATTAAAAAATTAGCAGGGCATGGTGCTGCATGCCTGTAGTCCCAGCTACCTGGGAGGCAGGCAGGAGAATGGCTTGAACCCGGGAGGTGGAGGTTGCAGTGACTGAGATCGCACCATTGCACTCCAGCCTGGATGACAGAGCAAGATTCTGTCTCCCAAAAAAAAAAAAAAAAAAAGAGATCTAGTGTACAACATGCTGACTATACTTTATAACAATGTATTGCTGACAGTAGATTTTAACTGTTTTCACCACACACACTCAAAAATGAAAAGTATATGAGATAACGCAAATGTTAATTTAGCTCTATTCAGCCATTCCACAATGGACAGACATTTCAAAATTACATGTTGTACATAAGAAATACGCATTTTTAATTTGTGAATTAAAAACAATAAAACAATAAAAAAGCAATTAAAAATGATTTTAAAAATGGTATCTGGAAACCCCTCACCACCCCAAAATCTTGAATCTGAACATGCAATTCCCCAAGGTAGCTCCACTGCATCAACGTACATAGCAAACGGATTTTCACAGGCTCTTGTCAAAGTGTGAGTGAGAGGCTCACCTGCCCCTGGGTCATCTTCTGCAGCTCATTCTCCCAAGCCGCCTGGTCATCGTCCAAGTTATAGGAAGCTGGTGGAGTGAGTCCACGGAGGATCAGGGGATCTCGGTCATGGCAGAGGGCTGTCAGGTGTCCAATGTACAACTTTAATTTACTTCTATTTTGGTCAAGTTCTAAGAGGGGCTGGATGATCTAAGGCAAAAGAAATCATAACAATAAGAAAAGTCAAGGTCAGTCTGAAATGAGGAACTCAAATATTCCTTTATGCCTCCCAAGTAAAAGAAAATTGACCAGAGACTAAAGCTCTTATAATCACTACTGAAATCTTCAAGCTTGTAGAAACACTTTCACACACTGTCACACATTTATGCTGTCACACCCAGCTGCCCTTCTGGGAGACACAAAGAGAATGCTGGCTTAATATATCCACACTAGACGGATAGCTCTGTACTGAGGCGGGGATTAGGCACAGGACTGACTCGTTTTTACAGAGATGCTATTCCTGATACAGAAAGACTCCAGTTACCTCACAATTTCTCTTCACTTATGTATGAGTGGATTACAAAAAACTGCTAGTGCAAGCTGCTCATCTGAAATCCTGGACTACATATACTTCAGATATTCCTCCACCTCCTGGAATGGAAGAAAAATTCCGTCTCTGGAGAAAGTGCATGTTTTTCTTGGCCAAGAGATGTGATGAGGGAACTCATGAATTCTGCCTCATCCTGGCTTATGCTCCCCTCATTCATTTCACAGACGTTATCCGATACTCTTCTGAAACAGTGACTGATAAATCCTTATATAACACCAAACACCTGACTCACAGCCAAGGACTCTAAAATTCTTAGTTGTAACACTGGTTCTGTGTTTTTCTTAAGGAACAGGCTTGCTCTCCATTTTTTCTTTTCTCTTTCCTTTCCCCTGCATGAACAGCTACTCCCTTGATTCCTTCTGGAAGCGCACTAAATGACTGATGACTCCTGCCTCAGGATTTCATTTGACAGCTCTCGTGACAATAGTCTGGGCAGGTATTTGGGAGGTGGTCAAAGCCTGGAGTGTTCAGGAAGAGAGTGGGGCCAGACCTCACATCACAGAACACTGAAGCATTAGAACAGCACCTGCTTGAAACACAGCAGCTGTGAACGCTGCGAAGCACTGCCAAAACGCTGGCCGTTCTCAGTATGTTCCCAGGGCTCACACTACAGAGGTCTGCACCTGTTGCATGTCACCAGCCTGGCAATTTTCATCAACAGGACACCTCTGGCCTAACTAATGAATTGGGAGCTCAATAATCTTCAAGTCAACAGAAGCAAGTCCTGGTATTACTTTCCACAGTAACACTGATTCCTCCTTGGACCCCCTCAGAGGACTGCTCCTGTCACCTTCCTTTATTTCGTTTTAAATAAGAGTTTTTTAAGCAAATATAGTTTTATGTTTTTACTATAAAAATAATATATATTTTACTCCAAAAAATTGGGGGAAAAGGAAAAATATAAAGGAAATAAGACAATTGCATACACTTCCATCAAGAAGTAATCATTTGTAACATTTTGGTAATTTTTATGCCAAGTCTTTTAATAAATTTATATAAATCAGCTTCTAACAGTATCATACTTCACATTTCGTTTGACACATTCTTTTACTAACATTGTATTGTGAGTACTGTTCACTGCATTATATGACTGAAAATATTTTTCAATGGCTGCATAATAAATACAGCATATTTCCCTTGTTTCTAATATTATTTCCAGGAAATAATTAAGAGACAATAAAGAGCAAGAGCTTAGTGGCTAAAACAATCTTTAGTTTACTAAAAAGATTAGAGTTCAGTTTAGGTCTATACAGTATAAAATAACACAGAAGCTGGAGTCTGGCTAGACAAACCAGAGAAAATGAATCAATTTAGCATTATAATTTTTTTTTGAAACGGAGTCTCGCTCTGTTGCCAGGCTGCAGTGCAGTGGCGTGATCTTGGCTCACTGCAACGTCTGCCTCCTGGGTTCAAGCAATTCTCCTGCCTCAGCCTCCCGAGTAGCTGGGACTACAGGCATGTGCCACCACACCCAGCTAATTTTTGTATTTTTAGTAGAGATGAGGTTTCACCATGTTGGCCAGGATGGTCTTGATCTCCTGACCTCGTGATCTGCCTGCCTCGGCCTCCCAAAGTGCTGGGATTACAGGTGTGAGCCAGTGTGTGTGGCCAGCATTATTTTTGTTTTTAAAACTCTCTCTCTCTCTAAGGATAAAGGATAAACACTAAAGTACTGCTGTGAAAGGCTCCTGGTCTCTAGAAGAGACTCCTAATCAGCGGTTTCTGGTACCAGTTCTGTGCTGGAATTTCTACCTACGACAGGGATGTCAACACAGCCTGTCACAGAAAAAAGAGAGTTTCAATCAAGCAGAGAATTTAGAGTGGGGAAGTTGGATAGCTTTTGGCAAACAATGCCAACCTTTAAAAAATATTGTATTTTATTTCTGAGCATAAATATATACTTGCTGTGGCTGGGCATGGTGGCTCATGCCTGTAATCCCAGCACTTTGGTAGGCCAAGGCAGGCAGATCACTTGAGGTTAGAAGTTCAAGAGCAGCCTGGCCAACATGGTGAAACCTTGTCTCTACTAAAAATACAAAAATTAGCTGGACATGGTGGCGTGTGCCTGTACTCCCAGGTACTCGGGAGTCTGAGGCTAGAGAACTGCTTGAACCCAGGAGGCAGAGGTTGGAGTGAGCCAAGATGGCGCCACTGCACTCCAGCCTGGGCGACAGAGTTACATACTTACACATTGTGGAAAATTTAAAAAAAGGAATTCCAAGTGCAGTCTTTAAAGGTAATATTATTTTATGTTTTGTAACTTTTATTTTTATTTATTTATTTATTATTTATTTTTTATTGCATTTTAGGTTTTGGGGTACATGTATAGAATATGCAAGATAGTTGCATAGGTATACACGTGGCAGTGTGATTTGCTGCCTTCCTCCGCTTCACCTATATCTGGCTTTCTCCCCATGCTATCCCTCCCCAACTCCCCACCACCCGCTGTCCCTCCCCTATTCCCTCCAACAGACCTCAGTGTGTAGTGCTCCCCTTCCTGTGTCCATGTGTTCTCATTGTTCAACATCCGCCTATGAGTGAGAACATGCGGTATTTCATTTTCTGTTCTTGTGTCAGTTTGCTGAGAATGATGTTCTCCAGGTTCATCCATGTCCCTACAAAGGACACGAACTCATCGTTTTTGATTGCTGCATAATATTCCATGGTGTATATGTGCCACATTATCCCTGTCCAGTCTATCATCATTGGATATTTGGGTTGATTCCAGGTCTTTGCTATTGTAAACAGTGCTGCAATGAACATTCGTGTGCATGTGTCCTTATAGTAGAACGATTTATAATCCTTTGGATATATACCCAGTAATGGGATTGCTGGGTCAAATGGAATTTCTATTTCTAGGTCCTTGAGGAATCGCCACACTGTCTTCCACAATGGTTGAACTAATTTACACTCCCACCAGCAGTGTAAAAGTGTTCCTATTTCTCTACATCCTCTCCAGCATCTGTTGTCTCCAGATTTTTTAATGATTGCCATTCTAACTGGCATAAGATGGTAACTCAATGTAGTTTTGATTTGCATTTCTCTGATGACCAGTGATGATGAGCATTTTTTCATACGGTTGTTGGCCTCATGTATGTCTTCTTTTGTAAAGTGTCTGTTCATATCCTTTGCCCACTTTTGAATGGGCTTGTTTGTTTTTTTCTTGTAAATCTGTTTGAGTTCTTTGTAAATTCTGGATATCAGCCCTTTGTCAGATGGGTAAACTGCAACAATTTTTTCCCATTCTGTTGGTTGCCAATTCACTCTAGTGACTGTTTCTTTTGCCGTGCAGAAGCTGTGGAGTTTGATTAGGTCCCATTTGTCTATTTTGGCTTTTGTTGCCAATGCTTTTGGTGTTTTGTTCATGAAGTCCTTGCCTACTTCTATGTCCTGAATGGTTTTGCCTAGTTTTTCTTCTAGGGTTTTTATGGTGTTAGGTCTGATGTTTAAGTCTTCAATCCATCTGGAGTTAATTTTGGTGTAAGGTGTCAGGAAGGGGTCCAGTTTCTGCTTTCTGCACATAGTTAGCCAGTTTTCCCAATACCATTTATTAAACAGGGAATCCTTTCCCCATTGCTTGTTTTTGTCAAGTTTATCAAAGACTGTATGGTTGTAGACATGTTGTGTTGCCTCTGATGCCTCTGTTCTGTTCCATTGGTCTACATCTCTGTTTTGGTACCAGTACCATGCTGTTTTGATTACTGTAGCCTTGTAGTATAGATTCAAATCCGGTAGTGTGATGCCTCCCGCTGTGTTCTTTTTTACTTATAATTGACTTGGCTATGTGAGCTCTCTTTTGGTTCCATATGAAGTTTAAGGTGGTTTTTTTCCAGTTCTGTGAAGGTCATTGGTAGCTTGATGGGGATAGCATTGAATCTATAAATTACTTTGGGCAGTATGGCCATTTTCATGATACTGATTCTTCCTAACCATGAACATGGAATGTTTCTCCATCTGTTTGTGTCCTCTCTTATTTTGTTGAGCAGCGGTTTGTAGTTCTTCTTGAAGAGGTCCTTTATGTTCCTTGTTAGTTGTATTCCTAAGTATTTTATTTTCTTTGTAGCAATTGTGAATGGCAGTTCGTTCTTGATTTGGCTCTCTTTAAGTCTGTTATTGGTGTATAGGAATGCTTGTGATTTTTGCACATTGATTTTGTATCCTGAGACTTTGCTGAAGTTGCTTATCAGTTTCAGGAGATTTTGGGCTCAGACAATGGGGTCTTCTAGGTATACTATCATGTTGTCTGCAAATAGAGTCAATTTGGCTTCCTCCATTCCTATTTGAATGCCCTTTATTTCTTTTTCTTGCCTGATTGCTCCGGCTAGAACTTCCAGTACTATGTTGAATAGGAGTGGTGAGAGAGGGAATCCTTGTCTAGTGCCAGATTTCAAAGGGAATGCTTCCAGTTTTTGCCTATTCAGTATGATATTGGCTGTTGATTTGTCATAAATAGCTTTTATTATTTTGAGATACGTTCCGTCAATACTAAGTTTATTGAGGGTTTTTAGCATAAAGGGCTGTTGAATTTTGTCAATGGCCTTCTCTGCATCAATTGATATAATCATGTGGTTTTTGTTTTTGGTTCTGTTTATGTGGTGAA